AAATATGGAAGTCCAGTATTGGGCACACGGAGCACAGATTCGGGGAAGCTCATTCCTGAGAAAAGCAAACAGCCGAAGAGAAGCTCTGTATTGCACGCATCAATGGAACCTCATAAGTGATTTGGCAGGTGATAAACCAAATACGGAAGTCCAATATTTGGCACGCGGAGCACAGATTCGGGGAAGCTCATTCCTGAGAAAAGCAAACAGCCGAAGAGAAGCTCTGTATTGCACGCATCAATGGAATCCTTCTTGGTATATTACACGTAGTAAGCAGCCGGGGGAGCTCGCCTATACACTGGAGAGTGCCAAAATCTGAACAATTTGCTTGCCCCAACCTTCTATCTATGCTTCTGTAATCCACACAAATAACTAATCCCTACACTGGCCAAACCAGCAGACACAATACCATTTGATACGCAGAGCAAACAGTCGAGGAGAGCTCAATTTTACATGCTTCTGGATCCAAAGCAGCAAGGATCCATCTTGCACGAAGAGCGGCCTAAATCGAGGGAAGCTCAATCTTACACATATCAACAGTATGTATCCATGATTTGGCAGGTGACTAAACCAAGGCCCAAGTCCAATCAGCACGCAGAGCATCGAATCGGGGGAGCTCATTTCTGATATTACAACAGGATCCAAGCAACAGAATCGAGTTGCTAAGAAGAGCACGCTGCGGAGAGAAGTTCAATGTACATTTTCCATGGCACTACATCTATCAATCATGAAGAATTAGAAAACAAAAAATCTAACCTAGTATACACATTGCTCATCAAGAATTCTGCACTCTATATCCAGGGAGATTGAATCATCCCTTGATTGCCGCAGCTAAACCAGGCAAGCATAAGGCACATGCCCCTAAAGCAATCCACAGATTGACGCTGTCTGGCAGCAGCATGACCAAGAGTGCTATGAACCCGAAAGCCACCCCAGCATATCCAATCGCAGTCACGATTCGTGTAGCAAGTCCTTCTTGGCGTCCACGCATCAACATACGAGTAAAGAAAGAAATATAGCCGATGATGTTACTTACTACGGCAAAGTCACTCAGGATTTTTGCATTGCGGGACGGAGGATCGCTGCGGTTGTTAAAAATCTCCACCAAAGAGACAACTATTTGAGCCATGAGCTCAAGGAGTGACCCCAATGGATTCGGTTGGTAGACTTGCCCTTGCCCCTCCCTCTGAGTAGGGATTCCCACCTGATCATTGTTAGGTTCTGGAGCTGGTCCAATTTCAAGGGATGTCTGACCGGTCGCCGAAGCTGGCTCTTCAACTTCAGGGCGCATGTTTGGCATCCTCGAAACATTTTGAAGATCAATTGGTGTTTGAGAGTCTCCTGCTCGATCCCCCTGTAGACCATCAATTTGAATTGCAACACTACCACGAAAGTCATAAGGGGCATCAGATTGCTGAGCAGAATCCATGATTGAGCTCTGTTTTTTTTTCCTTCTATTTTCTTCAGGGCTATAAGCCGAAAAGCTGTAAGAAACCAGATAAACGTTAATTTTCATAACTATGGGGCAGAAATATTCATCAAATCCAAAATCAAAGCAACCAAAACATTCAAACCCACATCAGAAAACATCAAACTTACATTTCAATCCTTACTTTGAACAAGGAAGGGAGATGGAAGAGGACTGATGGCCGGAGAGTAAGCGAGAGAGATGGAGAACTGAGGAAGGGGAAAGGGGATTTCAATTAGTGTTTTTTGTTTATATATACATATATACCCAACATTGAATTCCAAGAAGCAAAATATTAATCGGATCCAAAATCAGAGCACCCAAAACATTCAAACCCACACCAGTAAACATCAAACTTAGATTTCAATCCTTACCTTGAACAAGGAATGGGGATGTAAGAGGAGTGGTGGCCAGACAGTAAGCGAGAGAGAGGTAGGACTGAGGAAGCGAGAGAGAGAACGTAAGCGAGAGAGAGGGAGATTCGAGAGGACTGTTGTCATCAAACTTAGATTTTATATTTATAGGCGCCCACAAGGCCACAACCGAATGCTGGGTAGGTGAATGTTACCAAATGCTCTCGCCCCGTTTTCGTCATTTTCGCTTCTTTCTTATTCACCAAACCCAAACCACAGCTGGAAAGACCAAAGACTTGGGGTAGGATTGTAAAATTCCTTCGAGATGATTTCTACTGTAGCTAAGAGCTTTGCTACAGTGAAACACCGCAGGTACCAAAATTACACACAGTGTAGTTCTAACGACCAAAATAAAAACAATCATAAAACAGGGACCGAAAAAAAGAAAAACTTTCATTAATTACAATTTTAATTCCATCCTCCGAGTTGAAAATTTTTCTTTTTCGTTTGAGGAATTTTTTTCTCAAGATTGATGTACATAATTTTTATTTCGGTTCCTTAAGTTTATTTATTTATTTGTTCCTTAAGTTTTAAAGTGGTTTTTTCAGCCCTAGAAAAATTTATATATAATTAATTTCTAACAAAACTATATATATATATATATATATATATATATATATATATATATATATATATATATGCCCGATATCTCGCTAAAATAGAAATCTAATAAAAATTTAATATTAAAACCGTGTGAAAATAAATAAATAAATATTTTTGAGAATGAGAAATAATTATTAGAAACTTAAAAGAATATTTAGAAAGGTTAAGATAGTTTTCTATGCTTAAAGAATATTTTAGTGGTTTTTCGGTAAATAAATAGTAGTTATTGCATGAGAAAATTAATTAAAACATGTTGTTTGTGTATGAAAAATGTCTTTTTATTTAGAATAATTTTTTGAATGGTGTTAGATTATTTTATATGATTTTATGAATTTTTCTACATATGATGAATATTTCATTGAATTTTCTAAGTGTAGGAATAATATTTTTAGAGGTAAAGAATTTAATTAGGCACAGTATGAGTATGAGAAATTTTTTTAAGAGTATAGAATAATCATATAGGATGTGTGAGAGTGCCTAGAAAATTTAAATTAATTTTAGTAAGTATAGGGAATATTTTTTTTATAGGAAACAATGTAATTTTCACACTAAATAAATAAATTGAAGGCTCAAATTAGGGTAAAAAATTATGAAAATTTAAATCAAACTCCCTTAATGAATTTTTGAAATTATTCTATAAAGAAATTTGATTTTTGAAAAGTATAGAATGAGATTTTAAAAGTAGGGATTAAATTGCATAAAATTAGGGACTGAATTGCATAAAATTAAAAGTCTAATAATCCAAATTAAATTATGTGAGAATTTAAGGGTTAAAAATTAGTCCTAAAAACTAAAAAGGAAGGATTAGAAATGAGTTTTTGCATAAAAGAGGGACTTAGGAAATAATAGGCTATGAAAAAGTCTAGAAACTTAAAGGATCAAAATTTGTCATTTTCCTCTCAAATTTGGCCGACCTAGGGCATTAATTAAGTCTGACTTCCAGCAGTAAAAATTATGGTAAAAAATAAGTAAGGTGGAAGGGTTAAATAAAAAAGGTGAATGAATGGCTAAAAATGAGGACAAATGCAAATGAATGATTAGAAATTGAATTAAGGGTTGAGATTTTTCCACATTAAGGGTAGAGATGGGGTCAATGATTCCACAAAATTTCATATAAATAAGGGTGCTGGAAAAATAAAAAGGGGAGAAAAAATTAAAAAACACAAAGGAAACTCTTATAAAATTTTTCCTTAAAAATCACCAAAAACATTTTTAATAAATTCTATCAATCTCTAATCAGTGGAAGAAGCTTGAATTTTAAGTGGGAATCCAAAAATCTCAAGGGAACAATTTAAAGATCAAATTCAAAAATTTAGGAGAAGAGAGGAGGAGGAGAAATCCTTCACCAATCTATTTTTTAGAATCTAATTGAAGCTCAAACAAGTAAATTAATCTTACTTACACTACAAGCATGCTTAATTTCAAGTCAAACTTATATTTTATATTTATAGACGCCCACAACGCACTTTCGACGCGAACAATACTTACCCTGACCAAATGCTGGGTTGGTGAATTTTATCAAATGCTCTCGCGCCGTTTTCGTCATTTCGCTTCTTTCTTATCCAAACCACAGCGGAAAAGACAAAGGACTTGGGGAAGGATTGTAAAATTCCTTCGAGATGATTTCTACTGTAGCTAAGAGCTTTGCTACAGTGAAACACCGCAGGTACCAAAATTACACACAGTGTAGTTCTAACTACCAAAATAAAAACAATCATAAAATAGGGACCCAAAAAAAGAAAAACTTTCACTAATTACAATTTTAATTCCATCCTCCGAGTTGAAAATTTTTCTTTTTCGTTTGAGGAATTTTTTTTTCAAGATTTATGTACATAATTTTTATTTCGGTTCCTTAAGTTTAATTATTATTATTATTTTTTTGTTCCTTAAGTTTTAAAGTGGTTTTTTCAGCCCTAGAAAAATTAAGAGTTAATAAGATTTTTTTTTTTGGGAAAAAAATGGTGAGATTGGATTTTCAAAGTCATGCAGTGACACTTCTTATTTTAATTAACTCTCTTCAAATTAATTTTTAATGATAAAAAAATGATCCTTCTAAAGAAAAAAATAAATAAAAAAACAGGCCCAATATATAAAGGGCAAAAAAAAAAAAAAAAGCAGAAAGAAAGGAAGGCCCACTAAGGATGAAAACAGAAAAAGCAATCCTGATCGTCATTTAGTCGCACACAACTCCTGCCTATCCATAACAATTCCCATCAACACTACCTGCGAACCGGATACACTAATTACTCTTTAGTCTCTTTCCCACCCCTAGACCAGAGTCCCCTTTCATATTTTGGCAGATTGTTTTTCAAATTTCTTTGAAGAAATACTTTATTTGGGTTCTTCATGTTGCTCCGACATCAACTAAGAGAGATAAGATGCAGGCGTCCCAACTGAGACAAGCTCTTCTTCATCCTTCCCAACTACCCCAGAAACCATATGCCAGAGGAAAAATCCAAACTGGTGTTATGATGTTGATTCTCTTTTCTTGTTTCATGAATGGTATCTTTTGAAAGCTACTTCCTTATGAATATGTAGATGGGAATCCAGTACCAACCATCATCTTCAAGGGCCTCCCATCGACATTTCATGCCTTTGTAATCTCCATCATCTTCGCCTTCACTGGTGCATTTGGCTCGTTGTTGACTCGCGGCAAGGTCACGTATGCTAAGTATGAAAATTTCAGCCGGCTCTACTCCCTGGTTTTTATGGGATTCGCTATAGCAATCCTTGTCTATGCTGTCTCCTTGTCGTGTTTTATCTCAGGTGATCAGAAGATGCAAATGGTGACAACATGAGGAACAAATAATTGCTTCCATGTCTGTCGTATACAGATCGAGGTCAGATATTGGATGTCACAGTGGAGGGAGGATGACTACTCTCTTGAAAAGATAAATCTTGTAACTAGCCAAATGGAGGCTCCTCTTTGATTCAGTCGTTAGCCTAAATTTCACCTACTGAAAATTGCTTTTGCAGAGCCCATACTTTCACATGCTGAAAGCCTACGAACCTGAATATCTATGCTGTTAGATAAAGATCAGAGGAATTTATAGAAGAAAACGACTTCAAGGAAAATAGAGAAAGATACTTGCCCAGGCTTTAGCTGCCATCTTTTTCCACACTGCATATGCCACACTGGAAAGCCATGGAGTACAAAAATAAGATGAAAATGGAAGTGAGATAGTGATCACTAGACCAGCATGCAACAATATTATAGAGGTGACCTTTACTTACATCAAGATAACAGCCAATAGAAGTCCCACAAGAACAGCAACAACCACAATTCTAACCTGAATGGTTATACATTTATTCAGGAAATAAATAAAACATAAACATAAAACAAATCCAGGGACATCACTTGCTGCAACGGTAACGATTTTTATCACTCCATCTACTGCTTTACTGACCGATGTCTTGCTTTTGATAAACTGGACACTTCAATCTGGATTTTTCGTATTTCCAGTAAAGAATCTGACAAATTTATTGAGATTCTAGCTGATAAGTTGGTACAGAAGCAATGTAACAATGAGTAATTGAATAATAAAATTTACCCTACAGGCACAATAGGACACCTAGCACAGAAAGCACTACCACAAGCCCCACAACGCCTATAAAAGTTGCAAGTCCATTCAATCCTATCTAACAGAGTCATTAAGAGATAACGTTAAAGCAATGTAACAATGAATGGGTCCAATAAACGTTTTTCTAGATATGATGAACAAAGCAATTCAGTAGTGAAGACAAGTACAAAATAATAGCAACATCATTTACAAAATTCATTTGGATCTCAGGGTTGAAAGAAAACAAAATAGTCTATAACATAGCCATTCAACAGCTATATAATCATATGGATGCCAACTTCCTAAAACTTGTAATCAGAAGCAGTCAAACTTTCCTAAATTGCTACCGTCTGCTAGCAACTACACGAACCTTGCATTGGAAAAAGATTTATTTTAATACCTGCAACAACTATGGCAAGAATAACAGCAAAAGAGATGCTCGCCCCATCATACCATCCTTTTGACAAACCCTATAAGGAACAAGAAGTGCGAACAACATGTCAGTTTAAAGAGGGAAAGGTATAATACACTGTGCAAATACTCATAATATAGAACTCATATCTTTAACTTAGTCAAGTTAAAACACAATAAACAGAATAAGAACCAAGCAAACCTCTGTCTTGATTCCCAATCCCAATGATGCTAAGGCAGTTACAATCAAGATAATAAGGGTTAAATCTTGCCAAGCTTCCCAGAGGAACCTCTACAATATAAAGTGCATGGTAAGCAAAATGTTTGTAATTCTAAACAGAAAGAAAAAAGAAAATAACAATTCAAAACCACATATTATACCAAAATAATCCGTCCTTTTTTCTGAGGATATCCATTTGTTCCAAATGCATTCCTACGTTTTATCAAATCATTCTCATCTCCAGTAATACCAGTTGCAAGATTGGTTTCCAGCATATTTGACAACCCTTTGACCTGATCAAGGAAGAGATAACACACAATGTAAAATGGTGTAAAATAAGGAAAGCATGATTGCAATTGACTTACACCACCACATTGTTGCAGAGAAGAAAAATCATGATCGCTGGTAATTGAAGCAAGTTGCTTTAGTCCAATTGCATAATCACCAGTAGCAGTTGGAGTTGTAACTGAGGAACCCAACACTTGAGAAGCAGAAAATAAGTTAACACAGATAATCTATTTAAGTGGAAAAAATACAGCCCCAAAACTCCAAAACAGCAGATTACAATATGTACAAAAAAAAAAAAAACCATCCATTATATTATATTTAAGTTTGAAAGATTGTGACAATAATTCCTTTCTTCACTACTTCAATCCAAACCCATTTTGGCCAAACTATTCCCTCCTGCTCTCAAATACTTAGTCCTAACATATCTTCAGATATATCCATCATTATATTCTGATTTAAGCTTCTTTCTGGGCATATTGTTTCTTCACTGCCCAACGCTTGCAATTACAGTAAATAGTAAACCATTTTGACTTTGACTTTTATGGGTATGTCTTCCTAGATGTTTCGCTTCCTTTGTCAAAAAATCCTAGGTCTGAGAAAAGGGATAAAGAGGCCCTAAGCAAATCAAGTTCAAAACCTCAACATATACAGTACTCATTTATCTACATCAAAGTCAGATTACAAGGAGTAAAAGAAGATTGTTATAAAAATATTAGAGCGTGACGTACTAATTTGCCGTTCCTTTTCTTCTCTTGTTTTCAAGTCCAAGGAGTACCGAAACCTCTGGGAAGCATTTTCCTCGAGCATTATTTTCTATGAAAGACAAAAACACCTCTAAATGCAACCAGAAAAAGCTATAAAAAAAACACCATAGAAAATGAAAATGGAAATAACAGTATGTAAAAACCCACAATGCACTTAGGATGTAATATTGCAAAAACTGAAACAAACAATGTCAGGTAATTCAGCATCAACTCTAGAAATAATTACCCTCCATCGCGCACCATCATTAGAGTCCCTAGAGGAGCTGCAATTTGAGGCAGGTTCAGTAATTTGAGTGGAAGACTCCATGTGCCCAGTCTCCCCTACTTTACCGAGGATTGATTCCGCCTGAAACAATAAATAATCAATCATTGACAAAGAAATAAGACAGAGACCTCAAGTGCATGACAAAATTTCCCTCTTGACTTGCTCGTGGACTGCGATAGTGTGATCCTCGTATCAAGTTTAGAAATAATTACCCTGCCTCGCGGATACCTATCAAGAGACTTCCTTACGGCTCTCTCAAGATCTAACTGAAACTAACTTTGTCATCGACAAACTCCACTTGATTCATGATTGTTTCTTCTTCTGAGCCGAATTGGATGGAGCGAGAGAAAGAAGGAAAGAAAGCAGGAAATTGGGAAAGTGTTATGTATAGGAAGTTTCAAGGCGCGCCTGCCTGAAAGGGTTGGCTCGCAATGAGCACTGCTAGGGACTTTCAAGTAAAACACATGGCGTCAGGGTTCAGGAATTGATTCTTTTATCTATGTTGCTATTTTAGTCCCTGTCTTTTTAATTATTCTAAATTGAATCCTCAAGACAACATTTCCAACAAATTTCGGATTTTTATTATGTTGATTGGTCTAGATAAAAATAAAAAAAGATTCTTTCCTTTTTTGCATCTGTATCCATTTTCTTTCTGGGAATTTTGGTTCATACAGTTCTAATGCAAAAAATGGTAAATATGGAGATTAAGGGAAAAATTTTCCCAAGCATCATGGAAAATTAAAAGCTAATTGAATTTTGATCCAAAGAGAAAAAAAAATTTCGGTTCCTACAGTTCCAATGCAAACATATAACTATGGAGGGTAGAGGAAAAAATTTCCCAGCATCATGGGAAACCTTGCTGACAAATTTCAAAGTAGAGTAAAATTCCTAAAAAGAAAATTGAAGAATAATCCAACATCATAACAAATCGACACTTAATTGTTTCCATAGCAAAATGAAAATTTAAATCTCAGATTTTTTCTGGCACCTCAAACAACTAAATAACAAAAACCTAATTCATTCTCCGGATAAGCTCGTTAATGTAGTTCTCACGGTTTCCAGCATCTCCTCCTTTAACATAGTGATTCCTCTTCTTTTTCAGACCACCCAGTGGAGCCTTGAGTTGGAACATATTCGTAGATCACATAAGGTTCAATCCTGTGAAACATATTCACTGTTGCCTTGTTTACTTCAAGGAAGACATCATTGAGGACTGGACATAAAAAAAAGATAGCATGAGTTTAAATTTAAATAAACAGCATAATTAGCTCACAAGAGTCTCTAAATGGATAGTGCTTTGTAACTAATAATGATCACAAAATACAATAGTTTCCTTTTTTTTTTAAAAAAAAAAACACCAAACCTTGGAATTGATTAAAGTGCCACTCTAGCTACGTGAGAGATGTAATGTGGTGAGCACTAAATTATGGCTAGCTGATATCAACATAACATGATCATAGCTAACTAGCTGCAATCATTTAAAGGTTACAAGGGTTTCATACGATACCTGTCTCAAACGTAAAAGCTGCAAGATACTCCTGGTCTTGGGGTGCATGGCATTGATACTGGAAACCAAAATTTTACCATATATTAAAAAAATCACACAAAACCATCAAACTTAACAAACATACCAAAAACTAACAAAAAAGGAAGCAACATATCCCCGAATGCGAATAATAAACAAGAGATTAGCCTCAGGGTCAACATAAAATCCACCCTTCAACCTTGCCTCACACTTTAATTGTACGAGTTGCTCTTCCCAAGAACTCCAAAAAGGAAAATTTACTCATATCAGTTTAAAGAGGGAAAGGTATAATTCACTGTGCAAATACTCATAGTAGCTACTGGTATAGAACTCATATCTTTAGGTTAGACAAGCTAAAACACAATAAACAAAATAAGAAATGAGCAAACCTCTGTCTTGATTCCGAATCCCAATGATGTTATAGCAGCTAAAATCAAGATGATGATGGTTAAATTTTGCCAAGCTTCCCAGAGGAACCTCTGCAATACAAAGTGCATGGTAAGCAAAATATTTGTAATTCTAAAAAGAAAGAAATAAGAAAATACAAGTTCCAAACCACATATTAGACCAAAAAACTGCATCCTTTTTTCTAAGGATATCTCTTCGCTCCAAATGCATACCTATGCATTACCGAATCATTCTCCTCTCCAATAATACCAGTCGCAAGATTGGTTTTCAGCATATCTATTTAAGTCGAAAAATCATGATCCCTGGCAATTTATTCAAGTTGCTCTAGTCCAATTGCATAATCACCAGTAGCAGTTGGAGGTGTAACCGAGGAAGCCAACACTTGAGAAGCAGAAAATAAGTTAACACAGATAATCTATTTAAGTGGAAAAAATACAGCCCCGAAACTCCAAAACAGCAGATTGCAATATGTACAAAAAAAAAATAAATAAAAATCCGCCATTATATTATATTTAAATCCAAATTTTATTTGAAGGATTGTGACAATAATTCCTTTCTTCACTACTTCAATCCAAACCCATTTTGGCCGAACTATTCCCTCCTCCGCTCAAATACTTAGTCCTAACTTATCTTCAGATATATCCATCTTAATATTCTGATTTAAGCTTCTTTCTGGGTATATTGTTTCTTCACTGCCTAACGCTTGCAATCACAGTAAATAGCAAACCATTTTGACTTTCCGGGCATACGTTTTTTTTTTTTAAAAAAAAGAGAACCAAGAGAACATAAAAAAAAGGATTACTTGTGTTTGATGATACAAGCGATTCGTCAAACTATCGTTAGTTTGACTAGTAAATTAATCTCACATATTAACACGGAGGGTGGAGTGTTTGTCGTTTTAAAGCAGAAGCACAAGAGATTGGTCAAAGATAGATTTGGTGCTTCTCTAACATCCTAACTTGCAAGACAGTTGTATCGTATAAATTTCGTGGGAGAGCAGTAAGCTGTCCCTGTGGTAACCCACCAAGTCGCTTAAAGTTAAGGGCCCATATTTGTCCAATACAAGTGTATAAAGAAGCCCAGTAGAAGGTGGAAACGAAGCCCAAATTAAAAGACCGATAAGAATTACCATGGGCTAGGGCTGAACAAGAAATCTAGTTTTAAACATCAATGAATTTTTGAAGGAGCTGAAGAGTGGAAGATTTTAGTTCTTTGTTCTTATTGTTGCTGCTCAACTTTGACCGGGACTCCCAAAACAATCTAAAATTTCAGATTTATTGAATTTTACATAAATATTTACAGTGCTTAGAGTCATCATTTAGTATTGAAGGAATTAAGAACCTAAAAATAGACACTCGGTCCAAAAATTCTATGTTAAGGAATTTTTTATGCTTTTAAAAAGATATCAATCAACTAAAAGCCTTTTTTTCAAAGAAAAGTATCATGTTTAGTTTAGTTTTAAAATTTATCTACTAAAGTGTTTTATTTGCGTCAAATTATTTTTTGATTTAAAACTTTAATTTTTCAAGCCAAATTAAGTATTTTAGTTTTGAGCGTGAGATCACATTGAAACGATTATCGAACCCCTTCATCGAGAGATACGTCGATTCAAATATCGAATCCACCTTTTGAGTCTCGACATAACCGATGTGTCGGAGAACAAGTATAAATTACTAAAAAATATATTTTTTGTCTAACAACAATCTCTTTTTTAAAAGGTTTTATGATTTATTTTATTTTATTTATTTAATATTTTTTATTTTCGGTGGAAGATCGTCATCAATCCCTAAAAAATTAGAAAACTTGACAATCCTCTACCCATCAATTACCGAGTCTAATTGCTAAATAAATAAATTCAAGTTAATATTAATTAAGTAAATTAAAAGAAATTCAACTACTAAAATCTAAATTAATAATAAAACATGCATAAAATAAATAAAGATTAAAATTACATTAATTAAAGTAATTACAAAAATTTAAACATTAAATTCTAAATTAAATATAAACTGAAAAGCATGCAATAAATTTAAGATTTAAACTATGTTAATTAGAATGATTAAAGACAAATAAAGATCTAAATTAAATATGGAATGATAAACATGCTTAAAATTTAAATTCTAGTCAAACATTTTATTATTTTTTTTGTTCAAATTTTCCCTTTTCCCCCTTTTTTTTTTTTTTTTAATTCTTTCTTCCCTCTTTTTGTTTCTTCACCTTTATATATATATATATATATATATATATATATATATATATATATATATATATATATATATATATATTTTTCGGCAGCCAGTTCAGCCTCTTTTCTTTTTTATTTTTTATTTTTCGGGTGGGGGAAAGGGGCAGAAGCTGGACTCTTTCCCCCTTTTTTTTTTTTTTCCCTCTCTCTTTGGATTAAGGCTGGGCTGGACTGAAATCACTCCAGCCTTGATTCAGCGGGGCTGGGCGTGGCCCAACCCACCCTTCTTTTCCTTTTCTAACTATGGACTGGGCTCAAGTCAAGAAACAAGCTCAGCAGAAAATTTCTTTTCATTTTCGATCAAATGCCCCTCCAGACCCTCTCTCTCTCTCTCGTGTTCTTCATATTCTTCATTTTCTCTCTCTAGTTCATCATCTCTCTTTTCCTTCTTTTTCTTTTTCAACTTTGATTTATGATCAAAGGCTGACTGACTATTATACATCATTCAAGTCACCTGTAATCCAACATCTAAATAACACATCAATTAATTAAATAACAGGAATTTAAAACAAAAGGAAAACTGGAAAACCCAGGAGCTGACCTGGGAAACGACTGAAGAATACCCAGAACGAGCCCAGTAACCCAGAAAACCCAGGAACCAAAAGTGCAGCAACCTCAAGAATTTTCCAACTTTTACTCTCGATTTCTCCTTTTCTTCACCCAAACAACAATAATCATCCTCAAAACAGAATTAAAACCCTTTCGATTGACCCAAGGAACGAAGAGCACGAACCCAGAAACGAAGAACACGAAGAACACCCCGCCAGAAAATTTAAAGGAGAAACCCGAAACAAACTTCAAATGAAAACCCAACAATCAGAAACTCAAGTTGGAAAACCTATGAAATTCAACACAAAGCCCAGAAAAAAACCAGAAAACCAAGTTGAATAACCCCAGAGATGAAGAGCACCAGCCCAGAAACTGAAGAACACCAAGCTAAAACCCAGAAAAAGCTACTGCAAAAGTCCAGAAATTCTATTTTTGTTTTTGGCTTTCACTCTCTCTCTCAACCCAGAATTTTTCCGAACCTTGAAATCATTTTTCCTCCCCTATTTATAAGCTACATTGTGGCATTGCTGCAAAATGGCAGCATGGGTTGCTACAAATTGGGGAATGGCTTGCTGTAGATTACATGGGTTGCTGCAAAATTGGGCGGCAGAAAAACGGGGAATTGATTGCTGAGTGTGCAGGAAAAATGGCATCAATGATGGAGTGTGTGCAGGAACAAATGCAGAACAAAACCCGACTTGTTTGGTCCTTCCATTCGATTTCAAATTTCCATTTGGTCCCTTTGAGCTTCAATTGTCTGCAATCATGCTCTTTTAGTATGCAATTTCAGTCTTTATAAATTAACATTTTATCAATTGTGTTATTTTGTTATGTAATTTTAGTCTTTATAAAATATAATTTTATCAATTTAACCTCTAATCACTTCAATTACATTTTCGTTTAATTCGATTCCATAATTGAATGTAAAATTTCACAACTTTTTGTATTTTATATTTTTTGTTATTTTCATATATATATATTTTTTGTATTATTCATTTTTTATAAATTCAAAAAAAAAAAATGACTAAACATTAAATTAAAAGAAAATGACTTTTTTTTTTTTTTTTGGGTTATGGCACTTATTATGAATTTTTTAGGAGCAAGGAATATATAAAGGATTTATTTTTTTATTTTTTTATTTTTTTTATTTTTTACCGCTAACACTCCCTTTTCATAATTCATTTTAGATCTTTTTAAGTTTCCAAACCAATACTAACAATTTGTTGGAAAGAACTAATCGTTTTGATTTTAGATTTTGGAGTATGTCATATTTAGATCACTTTACTTCAGCTCACAAGGAAGAATGTTACTCGTACTGGTTAGCATCTTAACATGTTTATGCTGTCAGGAATTTTGATATATCTACTTTATGGCTCAAAACTTGAATACATAGGGAAGAAACAGAATGATCTCAAAGGCTTCATTGGCATTGTCTTTGTTTTTGCAACCCAGCCATCGTTAGTACTTATAAAGCACACAGCCAGAGGCTCACTACATATACAGACCAAATCTGCAGATAGAATCCTAATTAACATGCGGAGCAAACACTCGAGGAGAGCCGAAGAGCTCGCAATCGACAGAAGCTTTGTATTGCACACGTCAAAGGACTCTGATCACAGATTTGGCAGGTGATAAACCAAGTATGGAAGTCCATTATTAGGCACATGGAGCGCAAAATCGGGGGAGCTCATATCTGAGAAAAGCACACAGCCGAAGAGAAGCTCAACGTGCACATTCAATGGAATCCTTTTTGGTATATTACAACAAGTAGTAAGCAGCCGGGGGAGCTCACTTATGCACTGGAGAGTGTCAAAATCTGATGTTGCTTGCCTCAACCTTCTATCCGTTCTTCTATGATCCACACAAATAACCAATCACTATAATTAACCAAACCAGCAGACACAGTACCAATTGACATGCAGAGCAAACAGTCAAGGAGACCTCAATTTTGCATGGTCCTGGATCTAGAGCAGCATGGATCCATCATGCACAAAAATCAGCCTCAATCGAGGGAAGCCCAACTACATATATCAACAGTATGCATCAATGATTTGGCAGGTGACCAAACCAAGGCGGAAGTCCAGTCAGCACATGGAGCATCGAATCGGGAGAGCTCATTTCCGAGGTTACAACAAGATCAAAGCAACAGAATCAAGTTGCTAAGAAGAGCACGCTGCCGAGAGAAGCTTAATGTACCTTTTGCAAGACATCCGTTTTGGTACACGGCAATACATCTATCAGTTCTGAAGAAGTAGAAAACAACAAAATCTAACCTAGTTTATACACTGGTCATCGAGAACTCTGCCCTTGATATCCAGGGAGATTGAATCATCCCCTGATTGCCGCAGCTATGGCAGGCAAGCATAGTGCACAAGCCCCTAAAGCCATCCACAGACTGATGTCATCTGGCAGCAGCATGACCAAGAGTG